TACTTATAATTAATGATGAAATAGTAAATCAACAAGTTTACAAAAGCTTAATTATATTGTATTTATCTACAGGTATTTGAAATTACCACTTTCTTCAAACTGACAGGGTAAGAGAAATAAGCTTACTGTTATTGAAGTATAGTTGAAAAAATTAAAATAAAGTTTAAAATAAGTCGAGTATAAATCACAAATACGAAAACAAGTGAATGACTCATTGGAAAATATTTTGAAAAATATGAATTTGGCAAGCAACTAAGTGTTCAAGTATCGTTATTACAACAGTAGTAGTCCTACTTCTTCAAATACAGGATTTCTAGAATAATGTAAACAAATTCTATTGTAATCACAAAAACATCGTACATCATTGTTTTTAACTTGTGAATGTTTATTACAGAGAAATACACACGTATATAATAAAAATGGCTATGCAACGTTTCGATCCTCTACTTAGGTCATCACCAGGAAAAAGAAAATAACGTTAATTTGACACAGTAGGTTTGTTTGTTTGTTATGAATGTCGTGCAAAGCTACACGAGGGCTATCTGCACTAGTTGTCCCTCATTTAGCAGCGTAAGACTAGAGAGAAGGCAGCTTGTAATCATCACCCACCGCCAACTCTTGGGCGACTCTTTTACCAACGAATAGTGGGATTGATCGTCACATTATAACGCCCCCACGGCTGAAAGGGCGAGCATGTTTGGTGTGATGTGCAGATTGCAGATTGCGAATTGAGCGCCCTAACCACCTGGCCATGCCGGGCCAGACACAATAGAGAATTCATCACTATCTATACACACATTACATTCCCCTCTTTTATATACCAGCCTACCCTATATCTAGTAAGAACTAGAACATTCGCCAAAGTACATGATAGTTCTAGAAACGTTGCATCACAGTAGTCATGTGACTCGATGACGCAACACTATCTTCAGAAATCATAAAATTGTTGAATGTAAAACTTTTGTTTAAGCGTAACTAATATATAATTTACCAAACCTTTTATATTACAATACACCTTTTTAACTGTCTATATATTTCCTATACTTTATTATTTACATTTATTACGATATTTTAATCTTCACCTCTAGTATCTCTGTTCCAAAGTTCTCTTCACAAATAACTTACCTTCTGTATTATCTTCATTATAACTCTTCCTCCTTTTCATTTTTCCCTACCTCTTTTTCTTCTATTTCTGACCATCTCCTTTCATTCTGCCTTTGTATCTTTTCATACTTATTCGCTCATCTTCACGTCTCTTTCACGTATCATATGTCTTCATGTAAAATAGCATCAATACCTGTTTAATTTTCCAGCTGCTTGAGGTATGCCACAGTTAAACGGATGTGTGGTGAAAGCAACTTGTGTACACGTGACTTTTAGCTTTTCAAGACTGTTCTTCTTGATTATGTTGCGAAGTGTTGCCTGCGTCACGTGGGTGGCTTTGGCCGCAAGCCACACTTTTATTACCTGGAATATAATACGAACTATTGCAAGTCTCTTTCTGGCTGAACCTGGCGCTCCAAGTTGATAAGTATTTCTTTGTTTTCCAATGCCATCTTGGAAATTCTAAATCCACATCTTTATGATCTGAGTATTTGAATATTTTGCGACGGAAAGGGCTGTTACATCAAACGATCAGTTTTCGGTGGCATTACACTATCTACGATACGCCAAACAATGTTAACATGTAGTTTGATATATTCCGTTCCATTGCGGCTTTATATCACATTGGTTGTCGCGTGACTCGCTGATTTCCATATTCAAAATCATCTTAATATAATGCAATCAACCCTCTGTATGTTTGGAAAGTTGGAATTTGATAAATATTTCCATCTTAAAATGAAGTAAGTTTTTAAATAATGTATTTATGGCATCCTTTTTGAATTAAGGGACTAGCATACAACTGTTTTGTGATACCATATGGTTCGGGCTTAAAATCCCTCATAATAAAAATTATTCCGTCTGAATTTCCTCCGCTGGGATAGCGGTAAGTCTACGGATTTATATTGCTAAAATCAGGGGTTCTATTCCCCTCGGTGGGCACAACAGATAGCCCGATGTGGCTTTACTGTAAGAAAACACATACACACAAACACCGGTTTGAATGAAAGGTATGAATATTATTATACACAAGGTCATCACGATCAGTACATTCGAAGCGAAGTGTGTTGCTATGGTTGCTTGTAACAACGTTTGTTTCAGCATCGCTTTAAGCTAAAAGCGTTTACCAACAGTTTTTGCTAGTATAGTTGTTTGTAGTATAATTTTTTGTAATGATTTCTATTGTTATGTGGGCTTTTGAATTCTTCGGTAAAAAGTATGCAAAGTCCAGTTCACTTTAATAGTAACTAAAGCATCTTATTTTTTCAACTACACATTCTTCAAGTTCCATCGTTTAAAAATAAACGATAAATCTAACTTCGAAACTAAACATATGAATAAAAACTTCCAGTTACTTGTTAATTTTGTATATCTTTTAATTCATCACAAACTCAAAAGTTACAACACTGAATTAAGTAACTTGGTTAACAGCAACAGACAAACTAACTAAATCGTTACTCGTTAACTGACTAATAAACTTACTGAATCACTAACTCTGACCTAACTTGCTTTTTTTTATATTACAGTACCCCAAACTCTTCTAAAACTCGTTAGCCAGAACAACTTGGGACATGATAGTGAGTAAATCAAAATACGCAGCCTAGCTAACTAATGAATGACTATTTGCTATAAGTGTAGCTACCAGTCTGGCCCCCAATTTTAACTTCATTCCTTTAAGTCGCACGCTCAATCCTTTTATGGCCGCACCTTTTTTCATACCTAAGGTGTTTTTGATTAGATATCATGACTTTTTTTTTGTCCGACAAACCACAGCATGTAATAAAGTGACACTCGACAGTAACCAACATTAGCTGTAGAATCGCAACTATATTATTTGGAACAGACGTATACTTAACAGAACCAACCAGATTCTTTAAAATATGTGGTGGTAGTTTTTCCTCTCCAAAACAGTGTTAATAACTTCATTTATAGTAACATGATGGAAACTAGATTAACAGTTTCTTGTTATCACCCGCATGCACTCGGTAAAGCCGTATGTAGCATCATTATCTAAGCTAACTGCTTAAGCTAAAATCACGTGATACTAAAAGCTCTTTAATTAGGATGATTTCATAAAATTTAGCAAATGTGTGCTGAAAAATTGGCACTCAATAATAACCGTCCATCCGTAGGATTCTCTTGAAAACTTGAGCTAGAAACTCATAATCTAGTTTGCTTGCTTAACCAATACTTATGTATCTGCACATCCTTTCGCCGTACAGTTTTGCTGCTCTAAATCAGCTGTCTTTAATCCGAATGACAAACTAAAAACTGTCCACATTTCCATCAGATAGCATACCAACTTTGAAAATAAAAAAAATCCATAAAAGTTAGGTATGTAATTACGTTTCTGTAATTCCAGTGCGAGGGGGGAGATAGAAATTCAGTCAAAATTGGAGGTTTTTATATCTCGTGTATTTCTTGATGAATTGCTTTGAAATTTGGTATGTGAAAATATATGATACTTTGGATTACCACAGTTTCAGTTACAGAAAGTGGACACTTGCTAAACTATTACTCCTGTTAATAACACATAGTGTTGTCTTGATGTTTGAATCCATAATTTAGAATTATGAGGTTTTCATATTGTTTAGCCAACAACAGTATACGCTGTACATTTCACAAGCTTGGCTAAAATTATGGGGTTTTCATATTGTTTAGCCAACAACAGTATACGCTGTACATTTCACAAGCTTGGCATTTATTTTACTCCACCAAAAGGATGTTGTACAGCTAAAATGCATTATGTGTATTAAATACTTGAAATTTTAGTGTATAGATAATTAGTTGATTTAGTCAGATATTTAAAAACGAGCGACTTAACTGAATGAGAAGAAATGGTGATAAAACTGTAACTTACAAGGAAAACGTTATAGCATGATACACATGAAAAACGTTATAGCATGATACACATTTTGTTAGCTTTTACTGAATGAGAAGAAATGATGATAAAACTGTAACTTACAAGGAAAACGTTATAGCATGATACACATTTTGTTAGCTTTTTCTTCTATCCACGATAGCTCACTAGCATGATACATGAGTAGACCGATTTTAAATATAGGTAGGCTTATTTTAGGTAAACATACACAAACAAAAATAGAAGTTTGAAAAAATGATACCTAACCTAACCTAATGATGATAAAACTGTAACTTACAAGGAAAACGTTATAGCATGATACACATTTTGTTAGCTTTACCTATATTTAAAATCGGTCTACTCATGTATCATGCAAGTGAGCTATCGTGGATAGAAGAAAAAGCTAACAATGATAAATTCGTGTCATTTTTACTCCATATGTCGACTTTTCAAACTTCTATTTTTGTTTGTGTATGTTTACCTAAAATAAGCCTACCTATATTTAAAATCGGTCTACTCATTTGTTTTTCAGTCGAAACAAGTTGTTATTGCTTTATAAAATATTAGAAAAATAACAGTAACATAATTATGGAAATGAGGTACAAATAATACATTTGGGACTCGTTAATCCTTTGTTACGGTTGAAATCATTTTTACTAATCTCAGTGCGATTTAGCAAGGTCTGTCTTGTCATCATTACTTCAGAAGAAGATTAGGATCTTGTAATAATCCAATTTTCAACATCTTTGACAGGAAAGGGCAGATTATCATGTTATCTTGTATAACAACGCACCACTTATAGTGTATCAATTATTGTTTATCTGTTTTTTCAAAGATTTTGGGTGAAATATATGCCCCGATTGAATATCTTTACGTTTTAATATGTTCAAAGTGTTTCTCACCCCCCCTTTTTTTTTCTGAACGTGCATTATTGTTAACGAATACAAGTTTGTTTGGTTTATGTTTAAGAATAAAGTATGTGCTGTTATTATTATTTCACATTTTCGTCACAAGAATCTTTTATTAATGATCATTTCAGCAACTAAATCTTTCAAACGGGACAGAAGCTTACACGAACTGGAAAGACATTCCTGTTCCTCTCTACATGAGGTTTTATGTTTTCAATGTCACCAATCCTTACGATGTCATCCTAAACGCCAGTAAACCCGTAGTGCGGGAGATAGGACCATATACATTTAGGTGGGTTTGTATTATCACATTCAGATGACTAGGAATGTATTTCAGTAACAGTGTTTAATTCTTTAAAAATATATGAAAATAAAAACTGATACACAAATATTCAGTTAGGTGCCAATAACATCTAGAGTTAACCTCAGTTGAACATAAAACAAAGTAGCAGTAAGATTTGTAACGAATTTGTTGTTATATATTTATTTTAATATGAACGTTTCTTTAGATTAAATTTATACTTAGAAACATAAATAGCTTATACTGTTAAA